GTGAGTCAGTGAGCAAAAGGAATTAATTATTTTGGCAAGTCTATATTTGTGCCAGTTCTTTCCCATGTGGAAAATGAGTGTTTAGAATTGCTAATTTTCTTAAGCAGTGGGGCAAGAGATTGCCCAAGAGAATCAGTATAATTTTAATCAGCCTGGATAAGTAAAGCCAAGCTCCTCTCTTGTTTTCTTTGCTTTGAATAGGTGGAAAATATTTTCCAGGATATAGTGTACATATAGCAATTATTAGAGTTGTTCTTCCTACTACTTTTCACCCCAAGTTCTTTAAATACAGGAGGTTTATGATTGAGGGAAGTAAAATCCCTTAGGACTCAGGAATCTTGATCAAAGAGGTACCCAGAGTCATCTACTTGATAATGGTAAAAGGAAATTCATTTATAGTTAAGGAATCTTTCAGGAAAAAGTCATTTCTACTGAATTTTCACACAGGAGCTAAGGAAGAATACTAAAGTCATTCTTAATTAGGACACTCCACTCTCATCTTCCCAGGGTGGTGCTAGGTGTCTTGAAGATACCAAAGTTTTTAAACTGGAAAAGGAGAAAACAAGAAAGATCTCAAAGAACTTTCTATTGCAACTCACAAGACTTCTCAATGTTTTTACCTAATACTCTCTTGCATATGTTTTATTCATGGCAATATCTTTGGACTTTGAGTTTGGGAGCAATGTTGATAGCCTCTCTTATGTGATCTTTTAAGATAAGAAGTTTTGAGACTTGTTTTTTTGTTGCTTAGCAGACCCAATGACGAATCTAATGCTGCAGGAAACATTGCTGGTGATTCAGTCCCAGTAACGGTCTTTTCTCTGAGTAAGAGATGAAGCACTTCCTTTGCCTGAATAAGAACATTGAGATGCTGTGGGGTGTTGTTTTTAGGATAAATGTGATTTTTAAGATACAGTTGTGATTCTTCCTCTGAGAGAAATCCAAGCCCAGTGAATTGGAACTTGACTATTTTCTGAGCCATTGTTACTCCTAGTAGAGTTTTGTTTCTTTATTTCTTATCCAGGGCATTGTATATTCAGTAATTTATCTGACTCTCAAATTTATATATTGCCATTGTGTTCTTGGTTAATGTGTTAATTGATAAAGCTTGGCTGGGTAGAGAGAATTGTATTACTTTAAAATACAAACTTTAAGGAGTCATTTTAAAGTAGTAATTTATGCCAGTGTGCCTTTGTACGGTGACTTTTAAAGATTCAAACCACAACTATTGTATATTCGTCTTTTGATTTTACTCACACCTACTCTTTTTACTAATGTTTGGCTAGGTATATAGTTCTGAAATTTTAGGATACATCACCATCACCTGAATATCTTGCTCAAATGAGATTGCTAGATTTTGCATCCAGGTTCTAACGTAGGCCCAATAGGCCTGGAGTAGACCCAGTAGATCTGGGATAGACCCTGTAGGCCTGGTGTACATCCAGTAAACCTGGGGTAGACCCAGCAGATCTGGGGTAGACCCTGTATTTTAAAAACTATGTGGCATCACTATTTCTTTTAATAAAATAAAGGATATTTGAAATTAATTTTTCAATTGATTGCCATTGTGTTATATTTCAGTGGCATTTATACATCTCTCTTCATTCCAATTAAATTCCTTTTTATTCAGTCTGTAAATTAACTTTCCCCTTTTCACATAGCAAAAAATTATTCTTGATAAAACTATATACATAATTCCAGCCCTAAAGTGAGGTGGGATCAAAATAATTTGAAGTTTAGGAAATCTAATGAGAGAAGTCTGAATGTTGAGTTTGATTAGCTTGGAGAAGAGAAGGCTGAGGGAAAGTATATTAGTAACTTCAAGTATGTGACAGAATGTTGAATGGGAAATTCTTAGTGCCTGTTCTTCTTTGTACTGAAAATTGCTATATTTGGGGATGGTTTAGATACAGTCTTGTTTGAGGCCAAGGAGGGATTAAGTGAATTCTCAATGTTCCTTCTAACCCTATGACTCTTTGTTCAAAAAGGAGATAGTTCAACAAAAAAAGAAAAGAAAAAGGCCATGAAAACTGAATTTAAAAGAAAACTATAATTTTAATAAAGTAAAGGAGTATGAAAAATCTAAATGAGGGTTATTCCTTTCTATAACTCATGTCCTAAGAAATCATAATATAAAAGTGATTTTCTGTGATTGGGGATAAAACAAGAAGGCAGAAAAGAAGGAAGATATTTGAGGTGGTTCCCTAGACATTCTGGGAACCAGAGTTCTGTTCAGTTGTGAGTGATTATGACAGCATTCATGAGGCCATTGCCTTCTTTGGAAGAGAGATGTACAGTGTTTGGAAGTCGGCAGGCATAGTGTGAAGAGATGCCATTTGTCTTGCTTGGTAAGTGGTTCTCAAAGTGTGGTCCCTATTCAGCATCAACATCACCT